AGCAATTAAGAGGGTAGACTCTGATAGTGATAAGATGATACTAAGAGGGCGCTAGTGTGATATCACAGTTCTGAATGTTCACTCCCTAACAGAGGACATAACTGATGATAAAAAGGCCAGCTTCTATAAGAAACTAGAACATGTATTCGATAAATTCCCTAAATACCATATGAAAATTTCGTTAGGAGATTTCAATGCCAAAATAGGGAGGGAAGACATTTCAAGCCAACAATTGGGAATGAGAGTTCACACAAAATTAATAATGATAATGCAGCAAGATTAGCAACTGCCAAATGTATAATGTTCCCACATTGTAACATTCATACATTTACTCGATGCAAAGACTCGTAACCAATTGACCATACTTTGATAGACAGAAGACGGCATTCAAGTGTACCTGATGCCCGATCGTTCAGGGGAGCAGACTGTACTGTCTGGTGGTGGCAAAAATTACGGAAAGCCTGGCAGTGAGTAAACAAACAACGCACAGTTTTCATACAGAAAGGTTCAATCTCAAGAAATTAAACGAGGCATAAGGTAAAGCGCTATATCGTGTTGAAATCTCTAATAGGTTCGCAGTTTTGGAAAAGTTAGACGCTGAGGTGGATATTAACAGAGATCGGGAAATTATCGGAGCGAATATAGAAATCTCAGTCAAAGAGTGTATAGCGTATTATGAGTTGAAGATAACATAAGCCATTGTTTGATAAAGCATGGTCAAAATTATTTGATCAAAGGAAACACGCCAAATCGAAGTGGTTGCAGGATTCATGCGAAGTAAATGGGGATAAACTGAACAATATAAGATGTGGAATCAGCAGGCATTTCAGGAACGAAAAGAGGGAATGTTTGAAAGACGAAATTAATGGGCTTGCAACGAACAGTAAGAACAAGGATCATATAGATCTATATAGAAGAATAAATGGATGTACGAGAGGTTACCAACATAGAAGTAAGTTAGTGAAGGATGAGAATGGTGTTCTGCTTGTAAATTCCCACAACAATCTGAACAGCTGGAAGAAATACAGTAGAACTTGGTTATAACGTCATCAAAGGGACCTAAAAATTGTGTCGTTATAAACGATTGTCGTTGTAACCGAAATGGGCACTTCCACAGTAGCCTTATGTTAGTCACGTAAAAATCTACCAAAAACCGAGTTAAAATGTTGCATTTTTTAGTGAAATACGTAGTTAAGTACAGACTAACGTAACATTAACGTGGAATTGCCCAAATGTGTAATATCAAAGACATATTACAGCGCTTTTCACTGACAATACACACCGCACTAATACTGCATATTAAAGGTAGGCCTACTCACCAAATTACAGTAGATTACATCAATTGTTGTGCCTTACTGTACCTAGATACGAGTACAGTAATCAGTTATCTTCATCTGTTTCCTGTTACTTGCCCAATACACACTTTCTAAATTACGTTCAATGTCCATAATTTTTGTCACAATTTCACTGCTGCCTCCCCTGGATTCATAAAACAAGTTCACAACCCTAATGGCTTCAAGCGCGTCACTCACAGTAGGGATGGAGACTTCGGAATATTCTTCTCCTCCCTCCTCATCTTCCTCCTCTGTTTCCTTCTTCACTTCCGATACAATATCGTGATCTGTTTGTGCCTCCGTCGTATTTACACCCCTGGCGTCACCACTCACTTTACCGAACGTAATGTTGTGACGCAACTTGAACCTATCAATCCATCCAGCACTACACACGAATTCTTCATCCTTTAACTTTTTTGCGAATTCTTCGGCTTTCACCATAAGAAGAGGGCCACTAACTGGTCCGTTATCACTTCTTTGCTGCTTAAACCATTTAAGCAGCGCTTCATCGACGTCACTCCGTTCAGGCTTACGCATTCGCTTTATTCTCGACCCATTTTGTTCAAATGCATCAATAATTTTTGTTTTATTTTTCCATATCGTTTGTACTGTAGAATTCACCAAACCAAATTCGCGGCATACATCAGCTTTTTTCCTTCCATTTTCTATTTCACGAATCACTTTAACTTTCTCTTCAATGCTTAAAA